CTTCTTCTTTCCTCTCTTCCTTCTTGCTGTTTACTTTACTTTTCAACTAACAAACAAAACAGACTTCTAGGGCAGGCCGAACTTCAACAGGTTTCATGGAAGTTGTAGAAGCCACCACTTCCCAATTCCTGTAAATGTCTTCAGCTGAGAAGTCTTTAAACAAATCCAAAGTTTTCAACCAATGAATAGTCATAATAATTATCCTTTCTACAACTGCCTCCTTGGATTTCTCCACTCCTTTAAAGATTCTATTATTCCTTTCTTCCCAAACTGACCATAAGATAGCTCTTCTTGTGGCTCTCCACATTAATCTTCAAGAAGTTGGATTATCTCTGAGCCCATAAGTTTATTTTGTTACAATCAGGTGGCAATTCACATTCCAGTGTTCCATGAAAGAACTAAGCACATAGAAGTGGATTGTCACTTTGTGCGGGAAAAGGTCACAAGTGGGGACATTGTCACACCTTATGTGAAGTCAGAAGAATAGTTAGCCGACCTCTTCACTAAAAGTTTGAGCTGGCCAAGGATGGATTACATCTATAACAAGTTGGAGCTCCATGACATTTATGTTCCAACTTGAGAGAGGGAATATTAGAAGTCATATGTGTGCTGTACTGTAGGTTATAGATGGCATTAATATATTTCTTTTATTACTTAAGTGGGCATTAATGTAATTTTACATTTAATTATAATGTTAATAAAAGTTGAGTGATAGTTAAGAGAGATCAAATTGATCTCCCTGCTTGAACCCTTTTCTTCCTTTCTTCTCCTTATTCTGAGTTTATTTCAAAGCAGATCACACACAAACTATAGAGCCAACAAACAAACAGAAGCTGGATGTGAGCAATTACCAACAAATAAAAAAAGTACCTTAGTCTCTCCTTCAACAATATGGCGTACAGTGGCACCAAACTCCTCCTCAATTCTTTCAAAAGTAACAACATTTGTGTCTTCAACTGTGTCATGTAATAATCCAGCAGCAATGGATTCCCAGTCCAATTCCTGGAAAAAAGAGCTAATGATGGTCTATATCACAGATCACAACAAAAACTAGGCAGGAAACCTCTTAAGAAATTAAGTGATCATATTGTTTGAAAAATTGACATTCTTTTAAAAGAAAAAGTATTTGTCATAAAATTTGTGAACTTTACAAGTTCTCCGAGAATACGTGCAACTTCAACAGGATGAATAATAAAGGGTTCTCCACTTCGTCTTTTTTGACCATCATGAGCCTCAAAAGCTAGCTGCCCAAATCAAATAACCAAAAGGTATAAGCACATTACGAAAGATGGCATGCAAGAAGTAGCAATAAAATTGTCGATGGTAAACTCTACAAAGGATCTACCTTCAAAGCATCATGGACCAACTTCATCTCTTTTGGTGGAAGATATGAAATAGTTGGTTCAAGGTCCTGACAAAATCAAAACAGGTAACAAAGATCAATACATCTATAAGCCGAGTCGTGAACAGCCATCAGAATAACTTAGATGAGTCAAGCTGGCATAAAGAATGAAAGCAAGAAGATTGGGATATAGGCAATTTGCGCAGAAGAATTAATAAAAGAAGCTGAAGATAAGGAGTGAAAACAGAACCAACAAGATGAATGGATTGGTAAGCTGTTTGAAAATTCTCTGGGTAAAGTATAAGAAGTTAGCTTCTGGTGTTAAACAACTATTTGAATCAAAATAATAAGCAAATAATGGCAAATAAAACCGAAGACAAAATCAACATGACTCCAAAATACATGAACAGAATATCAAGAAAGCATTTCCATAAATTACGATCTCATATTCAATGAAACCCAAAATCTTGATAACTCCATCAATGCATAATTTGCAACCACAGAAAACAATAACATCTTTCTCCAATACAAAAGCACAAAGCATCCTGAACACGAGTAGTTGGAATAGAATTTGAAGTTATTCCAAGCAATATCATTTCCCCTTTCCCGTCATTAACACTTAAATTCTGGAGGGAGAATTTTGAAGTCATGCTCTCCATTAGTCAGACACATCCTAGCTCTGATGTCAAGCCTGAAATCCATTTTAGATCCTGGAACACAAAAGATTTTATATCCGACAGTCTATGTCGATATTCATCTGGGAGAATTTTGAAGTCATGCTCTTCATTAGTCATACACATCCTAGCTCTGATGTCAAGCCTAAAGTCCATTTTAGATCCTGGAACACAAGATTTTATATCCAACAGTCTATGCCAATATTCATCTGGGACTGGAAAGTTAAGTTGTGAGCATTTGCAACAAGTCATCTCCATTTAGTAAACTCATCCATTGGTCAGTTTGGGAATCTAATTCCCAAGAGGTCCTATGCACTAACATTTCAGAAGTGAGAACTGGTCTAATATACACGATTGAACTGTTTGGATGGTTGTCTGAACTCAAAAACTAGGTTCAGGTACAAATAATCCAATAGAGCACACAAAGTGATCATATTTAGAAAGAGATGTTAGATCATGTTGTTAAACCATGAAGCCATCCAAATTACCTGGAAAAGTGCCAAAAAGCTTGGTCCCTCAATAAAAGAAAAAAAGTAAAAGAAGAAACAAAAAAAAAAATCATTTCCAGAAGAATGATGGGTTAGAAATAATAAATCTATAAGCCTTCTAAGTTTCCCCATCAGAACATTGAGTAATAGGTTATTTTTAGATCCATTCTGAATATTTTTAGAGGATAAGTTGCAAAAACAGGAGCTAGGATGTTGACAAAGAACAAATGTGCTAAAGTCCACATAGGGCATCTGAATTTGGTAAATAGAGATTGTTCTCACACATTATAACTTATGCAATCAAGAGAAACATATTTGACCTTATTTTTCTGACTTTTGCATTTTTAAATTGTTTTAGCTTTTGATTTTTAAACCTTTTTCTGAATTCCACACATAAAGGCATTGATCATCTAAGTTTTCCGAACTCTAGATGGAACCTAAACAGAGAACTAGCTGACATTCTTTAAACCCTGACAGAATGGTCATTCTCAAGCTTCTTGGGCTTTGTCAAAAATCCATATATACATTGTTATATATATATATATATATATATATAGAGAGAGAGAGAGAGAGAGAGGGAGAGAGAGAGAGAGAGAGAGAGAAGGTAAAGTATTATATTGATAGATAGAAAGTAAAGGATCATGTACAACAAGAAGCTGTACTCAGAGGCTATACAAAAGGCTACCCCTGCAGCACTAAACCCCCAAGCCCTGATTTACAAAAGGATTTTTGTATGCAAAAAAGGAATTATAATCTATATTCTTAAATAGCCTATGTGTAGCCAACCATGAAAACATCTTCCCCAACACCTTCTGAAAAACTGTTTCAGCCAATCTGCATTTGTTCTTGAACATTCTTGCATTTCTTTCCTGCCACAAACACAAAAAAAAAACAGCAGGAATCAAGTTCCAAGCCGATTTTCCTCTTTTGCTCAGTCCTTCAACCCTCCAACCCTTTACAAACTCCACTACTGACCCTGGACAACAGCTCTTTACTTCAAACAAATTCCATATCTTAGATCAAATTTCATACAAAAAGCTGCAATGTAGCAACAGGCGATTCACTGATTTGGTTGCCCACTTGCCCTGCACACATCACCCAATCAGCTGAATCCAAAACCATACCCTTCCATACCAGATTGCCTCTAGTCAGAATTCTGTTCAAGTACACAGTTCAAATGAAGAAAGCTACTTTTGTAGGAACTCCCTTGCACCAAATGATTTTAACTGGGACTGAATGCTCTTATGAACCAACAGATGCATTGTGAAAAGAGTTCAAGAAAAAAAAAAAAAAAAAACTCCTGACCTCTCCCACTGCCACAGCCTATCTGAGCTCCCAAAATCCACCAGTGTGCTATATAATAAATGTAACAATTCCACCAAAGCACCCACCTCCCAATCAATCAGGTATCTTCTAAACTTCGGGGACCACACCAAACTTCCATTCTGCCATTGTAGACAGTCCGCAACTCTGGAATCTTAGTCAACAGCCAGCTCAAATAAGATAGGGAATGCTTCCGACATAGACTCATACAAGGTTCAAAGTATTGGAAATGCAAGGTGTATCGGAAAGACAATTTTAAGAGACGTATTGGGATACGCTTTGGATACACAGATATAGGTGAAAAATTAAGATACGTATAAATATGTTAGGAAATTCAAATATATCCTAAAAAATATATTACTAACAATAATTACAAGTTTTAAATGATTGTAAATAAGTTATTTAAATGTAAAAGTCCATATTTACAATCACTTAATTGTAAATAATTACAATTAATAACTGTTGAAAAATGATGGATGTGTATACATGTTATGTCATCAATTTTCAAATAACCAATATAAATGTTATGTGTGTACATCAATTTATATTAATATTTATTAGTATATAAATTTTAATAATTAATTCTAGCATTTATTAATAAATATCCATTAAGAAAAGAGAAAATTTACTTAAAAATAATAATGCATACGACCATAACAAACAAATGGGCATGGCCTAGTGGTGACTTATGGTTGTTAAAACCTAGTGACTAAGGTTTGAATCTTGCCATTGTTTAAAGTCTGTAGTTTTTATACTAACAAAACTAAATTAATGAGACGGGATCATTAATTAGCAGAATTAATGAGAGAGTATCATTTATTAGTGGAATTAATGAGATTTCGAATTAGGTGCTAAAATTCAAATTTAAATTTAAAGTAGGAGTAATTGACTAATTAATAAAAGAAAAGTTAGAATTAAATATGGAAATAATTAAAGAGATTAATGAATGAAGGACATCCGAAAAAAATCAAGTGTATCAGACTGTTTCGGACCCATATCAGCCAATGCAGAGCCGAAACATCCCAATACGGGCCTGTATTGGTGCGATTCATACGAAAAGAAACAAAACAGATGATTTCTACATATTCCGCATATAGAGCTCTTGTCGGAACGATATGTATCGAGCCGTATCAGCCCGATACGTTGCGAAGTTTTTAACCTTGGAAGATTTTTCAGTTCCCTTCCAAACTGAGCATCCATAAGACTGATTTGAGGCTCCCAGGACCCAGCCAATGTCTCTATCTCCAAATTTAGCTTATACCACCCTCCTCCACAAACCACCCTGATTTTCCCCAAATCTCCAAAACCATTTTCCCAAGAGACCAATGTTCATGTTCTTTATTCTCCTCACAGCCAAGCCTCCTTAGGGTCTTCTTGGTTTGCAAACCTTGTTCCAATTAACTAAATGATATCTTTTTCCTCCTCTTTCCAATCTCTCCAATAGGAAGTCCCTCATTTTCTTTTCGACAAGAACCACCATTCCAGCCAGGCTTGGGTACATTGAGAGTAGATACATGGGGAGAGAGGACAAGAATACATTTTACCAAGGTGACCTATCTCCACGAGAGGAATTTGGCTTTACAAGATGCTAGTTTTTTATCAATTCTTTCCACTGTAGGTTCCCAAATTGATTTGGAATTGCACTTTGCACCCAAGGGAATGCCCAAGTATTTTGAAGTTTGCCCACCTTGCAACCCCATAAGTCCACCCAAAGTGCCAACTCTTGGACCTCCCCATTGCCACCAACTCACTTTTATGCAAACCAGACACCCACTGTCATTCTATAATTTAAGTTCAAACCAGTTAAGAGAGCACATGTTACAATTACAATGTCAAAAACTCCACGTATAACATTCCAAATTAGCAACTCATTCTCCAGATAAGTGGATGTTAGTACTAGAGTTAACACTTAAGTTTTAGATTCTTAGAACAGTTTGGTACAAAAAAAAAAAAACAACATTTGGCAGACACTTCAGCAGAGAACAGCTTCAGTACTTGGTATTTAGTATTGAAAATGAAATACAAGCACACTAAACAGTAAAAGCAGTAAAAGTTTGTATTCAAAACCAGACTACCAAAGACGCAGAGACAGATGATTTAGAGATGAGAGAAAAGAAAAAAAAAAGCATACAAAATGTTTCAAGAGTAGCATCACACCTCCCACAGTGATTCAGGAGAAATTATATCAGAGGGTTCTGAAGAAAAGGATGAAGAACAATATAATTGCCATCTTCTGTAAGAAATGTGAAGCATATTTGATCTGCATAACTTTCCAGAACATGTGAACTCAGCAGCTTCTGGAAAGTACCGGTCTCCAAATTCTGGGGCTTCAAATCTCTGGTAACACTACAATATCCACATTAGCACATATGTGAAACATTATAAATTCTGCAATTCTATTATGTTAACATATAGCAAAAGATGGAGATTTCCTTGTTCATGTTCAATCCATTATTATCTATAATTTTATACTATTAAATGGCATTAATATGATTTAGGGATTGTCCAAGAAAGATCATGAAACAATAAATTTCCAGTAATAACCCCTTCCCTTGATTTCTAGAGATCAATGTGTCAGACTCCTGCAGAGCCTTGAATGCTTGGCATCCATCTAGATGGCTGAAAGCCACCAACTCAGATACAGAAAACCTATTTAAGTATTTAAGAAAGAATGTTACAGAAGCATTTGGGCTATAGGCTCAAGTCATGTTTCTAGTATTCCATATTCCTATTCCCACTAACAAGGGCATGAGATTTTTTCTTTCAGTAAAAGAAGAAATTTTATTAAAACAAAATAAAAAAGGTGCAAACATTAAATAAAAAAAAATCACTTAATTAAGTGGAGATTGTGTGTAAAAGCAAGAAAGAAGGGAACAGTATTGAGCAAGGAGAGGGCTAGCATTTGCATAATGTGTAGGGAAGCTTCTGAAGATTCAGATCACCTATTGATCCACTGTAGAGTTGCTCGAATCCTTTGGGCAAAGTTTTTGGGTCTGTTTGAAGCTCAGTTCTGTTTCCCAGAAAATCTATTAGCAGTGCTGCAGAGTTGGCATTTGAAAGGCCTTTCTAAAGAAGGAAAGGTCATTTGGGGAGTAGGACCAGCTTTAGTGGTTTGGACAATATGGACAGAAAGTGGAAATTAAGACATGTTGGATTAAGAGATCAGCTAATTCCCTAGCTGACGGTTTAGCAAAACAAGGGGCAGAAAGGGATTCCTTGTTTTGGGCTAAATTGTAATGTTAGTGTCCTTGTATCTTTGTATTTTCTTCTTTCCTTTCTTGAAGTTCTTTGTGACTCTTGGAAGATAAGTGTGTTTGTCTTCCACTTGTAAATTTTCTACTGATGAATTAATGAAAGTGTTATTGATCAAAAAAACAATATGGACAGAAAGAAACAAAAGGCTGTTTGAAAATAAGTTTGTTATAGAGGAAAATTTATGTAAAGGATTTTGGAGTAGGATGTACTCATGGGTAGGGAACACATAAATGTTCCAGGAATAGACCATATAGCTCTTTTTGTAATTCTGGAGGTCTTTTCATATCTATGCACACAGGGTATACATTTTAGAAGATGTACAGTTCTTGATTGGGCACTGCACAGCTCCTTGTTGTGCAGATATGGCTTTGCTTTTTGTCTAATATATTACTTTACCTTTCTCTTCAAAGAAGGTGGTTTAGGAATTGGGAATGTGAGAAAGAAGAATATGACTCTCTTGGGGAAGTGATTATGGAGATGGCCATTAGAAGGGAAAACTTGTCACACGAGGTGGTGGAAAATATTCATGGGAAATTGAAGAATGGATGGGATGCTGGTGTATCTTTTTTTTTTTGATAAATATGCTGGTGTATCATGTCAGGCTACTTTGGCAGCACCTTAATCCATAGCGACCTTCCTCATTTCCTCAGGTTTACCAGATATGATGCCTGTTTAGGGAATTTAATTCGCTTTTGGGAAGACATATGGTTTGGTGACTGGCCTCTGAAGGACCTTGTTTCATTCTTTATATTCCATTTCCTTGTACAAAAATGAGAGTATCTCAAAATTTTTAACCCCTCCTATCTTGCCTTTGGGTCATAATTGGGATTTTGGATTTCGAAGGGGATGAAGAAATCACCTGTTTGTCAAAGCTTTTATTTTTTTCTTGAAAGTCTGCTTAGAGCCTTCTATCCCGGATAGAAGGGTTTGGTGCCCAAGTTCTAAAGGTTTCTTTTCCTGTACCTCTTTTTTAATTCTCTTTTCTAGTCTCCTATCCTCCATTCCTTTCCTATTAAGGAAGTTTGGTGTCAACCTATTCCCCCTAAAATTAAGGCTTTTTGTTGGGAAGTAGTTTATAGGAAAGTTAACAGTCTGGATTACTTGTAAAAGGATATGCCTTTTCTGTGTATTTCCCGAACTAGTGCACTCTTTGTAAATCTGATGGTGAATCTTGTTACCACTTACTAATTTCCTGTTCCTTTGTTGTAGATATTTGCAATTGGTTCTTCTCTTTGTTTGGGTGAAGGTGGAACATGCCAATGGAGATTAAGATGTTGTTTGATCCATCTATTTTTGCGTGGCCGAAGAGAAGGGGAAGAATAATTTGGAGATGCACTAGAACAGCAGTGATTTGGACCTTATGAGCAGAAAGAAATGCTAGGATCTTCCAAGAGAAGGAGAGAAGCAGACAACAAATTATGGATTGTGTAATGACTAGGGTTATACATTAGCTATTAACTTTGGATTTGTTTAGACAGTTCTCCTTTGATGATATTTGGATGAACTGGTTTTCAATGGATTCTAGTTCAACACAGAAGGATAAAACAAGGTTGATATGGGCACCACCCATTGAAGGCTTTTTGAAATTAAATTTTGATGGGAGCAATCAAGGCAACCCAAGTCCTTCGGGAATTGGAGGGGTCATAAGAGATAAGGAAGGGAATATAGTAGCACTTTATTCAAGGCCTGTCAGGAATCGAGACTCTATAAAGGCTGAACTCTATGCAGTCCTACAAGGTGTTCAGATTGCAAAAGAGATGAACTTGGAGAACCTAGTGATTGAAGGGGAACTCCAAGGTGGTGGTGGGCTGGCTAAAAGATCCAGATTCGGTGATATGGTTTTATCAAGATGAAATGAAGAAGTTCAGATGGTTAACACAACAGATGAGTTTGATTATACAATGGGTGGGGAGGGAGGCTAATGCTTTGGCTGATTCCTTAGCTAAGAAAGGGGTAATTAGGGATCAGTTTTATTGGGCTCATTTGTAATTCTTGTGCTGTTTTTTCTTTAAGAGTGAGGCTGCACCTCGTGCCTTCCTCTGGGAAGCTTGTAACAGTTGCTTATCCTTATTGATTTAATGGAATTTTAATGAATTTTTACTTATCAATAAAAATAGGGTTATGAGCTAGCACCCCAATATATGGAATCAAAATTAATTAAGAGTACACCATTTGGCTATCAATAGTTTCCTAAAACCTTGCTTCAAAGTTGGACATTGGCATGAGAGATATGTTTTGGGTATCAAACTTCTTCATCATTTCTCATTAGTCATCCATGTCAACAAGCATGGTACTATGGCCCCCGTACACACATAAAAAAAAAAAAAAAAAAAAAACTCATCCAGAGTCCCAGCACAAAGCACAGATTTTTCCTTACATGACTGAAGCTTTTGGTCACAAGGGGGAAATGCAGCAAAGTCAGAATCATGGATGGTGTCCATTGCACAATTAATAGCAAACCCTCAAAGTAGTTAGTATGCTCGAAATGCAAACCCTCCCTGAATACAAAACCACTTCCTTCATGTGTGCCAGATATGATATTCTTGCCTTCAAAGTAGTTAGTAATCCCAAATTCCATCAGGAGTATGATCTTGTCTCTACAGTCTGAGTCCCTTTTGAAACCCTGTATTTTATTCAAAGTGCCTATGAGGCTATGAACATGAAAAGGCTCTATTTTTCCAACTCTGCATGGTCCAAAAATAATTGGCCACTTTATTCTCTCTCAACGTTTGTCAAGTGCTTGGCCGTGAAGACTTGCCAAATAAATGGAATAATCTTCTCACCCCTAAACAGAACGGAATGGTGAAATTCATGTAGCCAACCCCATACAGTGGGGACAAGGCTTAGATGGTGATGGTGATGATGAATCTTCTAACCCGAAGAAAATCCACAAAGATGCAGAATTCTCCCACCACAAGCTCATACATCAAAGGAGGACTTCCAATGCCATTCAACTTTGACGTTTTAGCCCCAGTTTTGCTCTAACTCCTCGGCAAACAGAACCCTTGTTGGGCTAGCAAAACTTCATGTAAACCAATGATACTTATCCCAATTGATTTGACTAAAGTTAAATTAAGAAACAAAGAGGTAAAATTATAGAAAAAAGGACATATACTAAATAACGTCTCAGGAAAAAAAATACTAGAGAAGAATGCTAAAGATGGTTTAGATATAGTACACAATTCAAATGCCTAGCGGCTATAATGTTCGTCGTTATCATTATTGTGTTGTTTTGCTTTAGAAGGATTAGGGTTTACTGAAAGAAACTCACAGATTTGGTCCGGCTTCTTCTTCTAATTCGCCCATCCAGCGAAGAAGAATAATAAGGGGAATGAGCTGTGCTGGCGAGTGACCCAGTCAAGACCCTGGGAGCTTTCCACGCACAAGAGAGGACGCTACACTCATATCTTCCACAGCCATCCCCTTTTGATAGCTTACAGAGGTTCACGCATTGGACAGATACTACAACATCATCAACCAATTGCCCGTACAATAAAAAGAGTTAGAAACCAAATTCACCAAGAAGACAGAGCATCATTCCCCTGAAAACTCGGAGAGCAGACCTACCTGACATGGAAGGAGCAGAAGCCATTCTTAAAACGAAGCATGGGAACATAAAAAATCTTATCGATTCATGCAAGCAAAAGAATGGACGATAGAAAGAACTAGAACGGAATCAACGACGCCGAGTCGGAACGCCTGAAACGAGCAGTGGAGAGAGGTTACGAACTACTCCAGCTGAGAATCAGGGGATACTCGATTGTATTCTTCAGCTTCGACTTGAACCGACGAAGATGGACCTTCAATCCCTCTGTTTTCACATTTCTTTCATTCTCGATTTCAGATCTTCAATTCCGCACAACAAGAGCGTGGCAAGCAGAAGAATAGTGAGAGAGAGCGATGGAAAAATCAGAGAAGAAACAAGAGATAACGAAGAGAAGTAGAGAGGGCGGGAGCGTCGAGCCAAGGCCACACAATCATCCTCCGCATAATATCTTCAAGATATTCTTTTTGGTTCTCTCCGGCCTCCACTTTTTTTCTTTCTTCTCTGTTTTTACAGAATGAATTTTGGTGGGCTCATGGGTCAGAGTTCGCATCCTGTGAACCCGTGGGTTCACGGGAAAGCGTGAACCCGCCAATAGAAATCTAACACGTCGATATACTATGAGCAAATGATCACGTTAACGGGTGTTTAGCGGTTAGCTTAACAAACTCGATTGAACCATTCACAAAAAGACAAAAAGCCCAAAATAATTCCTTATAAGGTCATTCGAACTCCCTCCCCATTTCGAGACCTACTCCTCCGAGCCCTAACCTAAGCATCTCACCGGCCACTCACTACACCGGCGTTCGTGGCCGCGGAACGGCGGCAAGTATTCCAGCTGGTACTCTCCAGTCTCCTCGTGGATTCCATTATTAATTCGCATTCCTCTTCTTCCCTTCTTCTTCTTTCAAACCTAATGTTATTTTTGCTTTTCTATTTGCAATAGATCGAACAACCCTTAGCAGCTCACACCGGCGGTCACCGGTCAGCATTCATCGGAACAACAGTAATCTTGTGCTTCTTGCAGTCACAGGAGATGGAAGTTGTTTTTGAAGCAACAAAATAACTGCGTAGCTTTCCTAAGTTATGAATAGATCCTTGTGCTTATACCGTGGGAACTTGAGAAACTACCGTTGCAAGAACACGAGATTATCACTGGCTTAAGAAAGCAAATGCAAAAAAGTTTCAGAACACTGAAGAATTTAATACTTGCATAGAGCCCATGTCTTAGCATAGTAGCTAGTCTGGATTAGGAAATTTCTTTTTTTATTTTGTCCCCTTGTTTTTCTAGACATGCATGTTATTTTATCGTCGATAGCGACATAGGAGGAGGTATCAGTTGAATAAGAGAACCCAACTCTACAGGTGTCTCTTAAGTATAGCATATTTGCTTTTGCAAAACAGAGGAATATAATAAAAAAAAAAGAAAACAGCTGGGTGAAGCAATTCATCTGTACGTAGAAAACCCATATGAGAGAATGAGATGGAATCGCAGACCTCCATTCCATTTAACAAGAGAACAAGGGGCTTGGAAGATGGATCTATTTCTGCTTCAACAAAGTAGTAGAATAGAGCTCTCTGTTTCTTTTTGTCCACAGTAACAAAGCCTGAGAACTGCTGAAAATTGACTTGGGATTGGCCGGGTAACGCAGTAGTTTTATTAGAAAGAGACAGAGAGGCTGCAATCTCCAAGAAAAGGCACTGTTGAAACAGAGTTGTAAGAGAAGCAATGGAATTCCACCGGATGCTAATGCCGGACGTCAGTCGTGGTCACTGGTGGTCTAGTCACAGGAATGCCAAGTTCAAATGAAAGACGGTAGGAGGGGAGTTCAAATGACAGATCGAAGTATTTTTACTATTTTTTTGTATTTTAGTGGCCGATACAACTAGTTGGACTGCATTAATACAGCATTTCCGTTAAATCCCTGTTAAGTCATTAAAGCGACGTGTCCGATTCTGATTGGTGGTTCACGCTTTCCTTGAACCCACGGTTCACAGAATGTAAAATTTTGTGCCCAAAATGTACATAATAAGAAAGAAAAGCCGGGAGGAACCGACAAGCACCATACAAACACAGCTTACATTTCTACTTTATCTGTATATTGACGATTGCGCCCCCTGTTTTTAATATAATTCCTGAAACGCCTCTCCTGTCTATGCAAATGTTTAAAGTTTACTTTTGCTAAGATATGGTGATCACGCTGGGCTAAAAGCGTAAATCACGGCCTCCGATATATGGGTGTAGCCCAACGAAGACGTCACTTCATCCAATTAAGGTGGGACCACAGCAACACATCGAAGGTTTTGAGTTTGTGCGTCGTGGCAAAAGTTGTTTGTTAGGGCGCTTTGAAGAAAATAGTCGCACGGATGGCGCCCATGACGACTTTTTTTATGACTTGGACACTACAAAGTGCAATTCATTGGTTGATACGGTGAAGCTTTTGATCACGAAGGGACAATACAAATGCATGTTTTATTCTTCTTTTATTCTTTTTTTTTTTACCACACATGTTTGAAGTGCTGGTTAGCTTGTTATTTCTAGCTTGTTGTAATGAGGACCTCAATCTAACTTCCACGTTCACTCGGGTTGGAGGAAGTCAAATCTCTATAAAGCACTGTTTTGAACAGTCATTGATCCAGATGGTCTGACTGTTTGGCTTGGGAACTATTTAGGCAATCGATTTCATTTTATCTTTAATCCAGTTCTTAGTCAAAAATTATTGATTTGGTCAGTGACTCACTGGCCCAAGCAGTTGAACAGTCAACCCGTTCTACCTGGATAACAGTTTTTGATCATTTTTGTTTTAATTATTTTTTTATTTTTTAAGTTGGAATATATCATTTGTTCGAACCAGATGGTCAAAATGCCGACCCAAACTGGTGGCCAAAGCGATTCCAAATCCAAGTCAATTATTAAAATAATGCTTACAAGTAAAAGCTTTGTGTATACAATATCCAGCTGCACACGGTCAATGTCCAATTGGGATCTCTTGCCGCCAAGAATCTTCCCCACAAGGCCACAAGACACACTACACTTGCACAGTGAGAACATCTCCCCATAAATAGTATCTTGCAAATATACAAGAGATGTTCTCAATGTGAAGCTATAGTTATGTATGTATTGAGCCCGCGCCTTCTTAGCGTAGCTTTATCCTTCTTGCTATATGAGTCATATCTAGTGTATGTATCTTAGTTGTTCTTTGTTTTGGTTTTCATTGTTCATGTAGGAGTTTGTATCCTAATCGCAAGAGGGAGCTAATTCTACCTCTATATATATCTTGTAATGTTCGGTTGAAAAGACACAGAAAGAAAATCTTTCTCTTCAAACTCGAGTTTCTCATGGTATCATAGCCCGGTTCGTTTGACTTCCGCACCGCCTTCTGAACTTGCTCGTTCGATCTTCTCTAACCTCTGTTTGTGGAGCAGATCGCTGAAGAGTTTGCAGAACTCTACCTTCTTTCGATTACTGGAGGCTGTGATATTTGTTCTTTTGTTCGATCATTGCTCATGAAGCGGATCTCTGAGGATTCTGCAGGGTTCTCTTTTCAACAGTCAATTAAAGCCGGTAGTTGTTCTTCGCTAAAATCAAGAAGGAAACATCTTGCTTTGGTCGACCGATCATGGCGGATGGAAGAGAGAAGCAGAATGAAGGTGAGGGCGTAAGCAGAAAGGTAGTCTCGCCGTATTACCTGGCGACCAATGACAATCCGGGTAATATAATTACCCAAGTCCAATTGAAAGGAGATAACTACGAGGAATGGGCTCGAGCAATGCGAATGGCGCTCCGAGCCAAGAAGAAAATCGGATTTCTCGATGGAACTATATCTCAGCCCGCGGACGATTCACCGGAGTTGGAAGACTGGTGGACTGTAAACTCGATGCTGGTTTCATGGATCCTCAACACGATAGAACCAAGCCTACGCTCTACAGTCACATACATGGAGGCTGTGAAGGACCTGTGGGACGACATCAAAGAACGGTTTTCAGTGGGCAATGAGCCAAGAATTCAGCAACTCAAGGCAGATCTTGCGACTAGCAAACAGGCCGGTCTCCCAATCGTGGCATATTATGGCAAACTGAAGCAAATCTAGGAAGAACTTGCTAATTATGAGCAAACTCCAACATGCGTCTGTGCAGGCTGCAACTGCAACATCGCTGCAAAATTGGAGAAGAGACGAGAAGAAGAAAGAGTTCATCAGTTTCTAATGGGCTTGGATGACTCAGTATATGGAACAGTGTGTTCCAATATTTTGGGCACCGATCYGCTGCCAAACTTGAACAAAGCCTATGCTATGGTGATACAAGAGGAGCGGCTGAGAACCATGACCCGTAGCAAAGAAGAAAGAAAAGAGGCGATGAGCTTTGCTGTGCAAGCACAAGGTGGCACAAAAAGTACGGGACACGATACAAAAGAGAAATCTGGAGTGTGCACCAACTGCGGACGAACAGGACATGAGGTCGAGAGTTGCTTCCAACTTATCGGCTACTCGGACTGGTGGGGAGACCGGCCGAGATCTACTGGGAGTGGGAAAGCTCGAGGCCAGGGAACACAAGGTAAATTCGGTCGTGCACGTGGAGGCGGACAGAGAGCGAATGCTGCACAAGCGGTAGGGCAAACTTTTGAACCGACCCACGCAACAGAGGGAGATCACACTGCGTTTAGTGGATTGACTAATGAATAGTGGTCCACTTTCCTTAATCTGTTGAATTCTTGCAAACCCAGCACAAACGAGAAATTGATAGGTATGAATTGGATAATTGATACAGGAGCTTCGCACCATATGACAGGAAACCTGAACCTCTTGCGTAATACCGAGACCGTGATCAGTTGTCAGGTTGGATTGCCCGATGGAAAGCATGTTATCGCAATAAAGAAAGGGATCGTCATTTTGAATGAGCACATGAAGCTTACAGATGTGTTTTATGTTCCTCGTTTAAATTGTAACCTGATATCTGTGTCGCAATTATTAGAAGAGTCAAATTGTAATATCCAATTCACTAATAAATTATGTGTTATACAGAACCGCACTTCGAGGATGGTGATTGGTGCGGGTGAACTACGCGGAGGGCTCTACTACTTCAAAGGTACGCGCTCAAGCAAAGTTCACAAAGCAAAGGTTGAAGCTTCATACAAGTTATGGCACAAGAGAATGGGTCATCCCTCTGAGAAAGTAATTAAACTTCTTCCTGATTTGAAC